GAAATCTGAAGAAATTGGGATCTGGGAATGAGGAAATAAGTCATAAAATGACAAGCCTCTAACATGCATAAAACCAGAAAGTATAAACTGATAACTTACCCAGATTGTGTAAATAACTTGCAAGGCAAGGTTCACCTGCTTCTCCTTCTGGTGTGGATTTAGGAAAATAAGGGGAAGCAAAATAGCTGATTGTCATGCCATCTTAATGATTACTTATGAGGACAGGGAACTAAACTACTAATCCTTGAATTTTCATTAATGGAAGGACCATTTGCACAAGTAATGGGTTTAAATTATAGACTTTAAACATGCAATTTTATTACTTTAAAATATATACAATAACCAGAAATGCTAATGCTTTAATGATTAACAACTTAAAGGAATATGTCAAAGGACCAATCTAAGTTAGATTGACCTTTCCTAATAGTTCAATTACATGTTTGTCAATAAATCTTTGAAAGCTTTTGAAGAATGCACTAGTTGGTTAACATGTTGCTTTCATTTTCTTTTATCCTATTTCAGATTATCCCACTGATACCCTGGAAATGTTAATAGGTATATTGAGAGGGACCAAATAATTTCCTATTGAAGTAAATTTTAGACATACTGGGTTAAACAAAATTAAAGTTTTTTTTTTTTTTTTTTTAATCTGAAGTGCTTCTCACATCTTTAACATTCATTGTGACTGGAGTGGGGAGGGGAGAAGAGGTTATAATATGCAGTGCTTTCCAAACTTACTTCACATAGGTTTCTTTTCTCCAGGCAGTCCTATTGCAATATAAAATGCTGCTTTATTTATTTAATCTGCAATTTTATGTACTTCGCACCTCCCAGCCTCTTTTTTCTTAATACCAAACCAACCACTACCGTTGAGTCAATTCCGACTCATAGTGACCTCATAGGGTTTCCAAGGCTGTAAATCTTTACGGAAGCAGACCGCCACATCTTTCTCCCACACATCTTTCTCCCATGGAGAGTCTAGTGGTTTCGAATGGCCTACCTTTCAGTTAGCAGTTGACCACTTTAACCGCCGCGCCACGAGGGCTCCCTTTTTATCTTAAGAAGGGATGAAAATTGGTAAAACTGCAACTCTACTACTCTCTGATCAGATCCTGAACTACCTAGATTTTGAAGCACAAAATAAAAACTTTTAATTCATAAATATTATGAATTAATACCATAACTAGAACCAAAATGCCTTAGGTTATACAACAGTAAATTTCGTTTTGTGATTTGAGGCATGTGCAAGGTCTGGAAAAGCAAAAATAACTTGTCCATTTAAAACTACCTAATTTAGCCAGAGTATGTTTTCTGTCCTAGCTTGAATTTATGCCTTGTTCAAAATTTAACTGCATAATCATGAAGATACATGCCGTTCAGGAGGATAAGAATAATCCTCCCATATAAAATTAGTTCTTTTTTGTCTTCTGCAATATAATAATCCTAATAGCTATACTGAACACCTACGTTATTTCACGTGACCTTCACATAGACTTGGGAAGTTAGTTACCATGATTGCCATTTCACAGATGAGGAAAGTGATACACAGAGATGTTAGCACTCTCGTCCAGGCCATACAGCTAGAAAGAGAAGGAAAGAGGTTTCAAACTTCAGTCCAGCACCAAAGACCCTACTGTTTGCATTATGCTGAATGGAATTATCCACATCGTATATAAGTTTGCTTCTTCCTTTATCCTGTGAGCATCAGTGACCCAGGCAATATTCTTTATGTAGAGCTTTTGCAATGTAAATTTGTAGTTTGTCTGTAATACAGTACTTGTTTGGAAAAAATTCTTAAAGGAAACAGCCAAACTCTGCACATGTGTAACATTCCTTCTTGAATAAATGAAGCATCTTGTGCAATTTAAAAAATTGTCTTAACAGCAACAGGTTTTTTTAAATTTTATTTTTATTTTTTCAAGGCCATAGCATGCTGTTTAAAGGACTTCCATCAAAAAAAAAAAAAAAAAAAAAACACCACACAATTGTGCTATTAGAGATTCAGTAATGGTTGTTCTATATTCTAATGTTACCTGACAGCATTTTTTCTTTATTATTTAACTCTGGTAATTGATTTTAACATAAAAAATATGGTTCATTGTTGCCTTTCTCAAGAATTATTTGTTGTTATCTAAAAATATGAACAACAAAACCAAAAGATAATAAGCCTTATAGAAACAACATGAAGCAAATACTGTTATTAGTTTTAATGTCCATTCTGAAGATTACAAAGAATAGGAAACTTACTTCAAGAAGGATTCATTGTCCCTTATGGGATCAGCACTGTATTAAAACTGTAGCGGTGCAAGAAGATATTGAGACATGTTCTTTACTCTCTTAGAATTTACAGTCTGGCTGGGAAGTCAAACATACCGTCAGGGGCCAATTAAATAATATTATGTACTGCACAATTCAGTCCCGAAATAAATGATAGAGACATTCTGTCTGTCGTATACCAGGAAACTGTGTGAGAGATGTGATCAGGTGTGGTGGGAGAATGTAGGCAAGACGTTTCAACTGGATCTTGAAGATCATGAAGGCATTGGACAGAAAAGACAGGAATGAAATAAGAGGTGAGGACAGAGTCAGTGACAGCATGTGGAGATCACAGATTGAAGCAGGGAGCAGTAGATGGGTAGGGTGGGAGTCAGTCAGGGCCCTGGATGAAGCTGTGAAGGCAGCAGATTTTCTTCTTGCTAATATATGATCAGCCCTTTTAGTGCCTTCTTTCTTGGTGTGGCTCTCACTAACTTTCCCACCTCCCCAACAGGCAGCTAGACTCTGGCCTATTTTGGAGGGCTACTGTTAGCTGCATTTGCCATAGGACTCTTGAAGGCTCCGAAGTCTTTTAAGACTCAGAGAAAAGATTCTCTAATAGTGAAATTTCAATTCAAATGAGATACAGTATCATGGCTCTAGCATTCCCTAAATTTCACAGTTCATTTATTAGGCCCAGGGTAATATTACGATAGTTCTTGACAATTAGTCTGGATTTGGAATTTGATCTTCTGTATATTGGTAACCCATTAGAAGTTGTTGGTTTTAATAAGAAATACAGAGAAGTGTTCTGGGAATTGTAAATTAGGAGCAATGTGCTAGAAAGAAGGTAGGAAGAGTGGAAGCAGTAAAACAAGCGTGCTATTTTACTAGTATAAGGTCCTTGGATAGCACAAATGGTTTGCGCTCAACTACTAACCTAAATAGTGGTGGTTTGAATTTACCCTCCAAAAGAAGGCCTGGCAATCTGCTTCTGGAAAGACTGCAGCCAAGAAAACCCCATGGAACAGTTCTACTCTGTAACGCATGGGGTCACCATGAATTGGAATCCACTTCATGGCAAGAGGTATAGGTTATTCGACTCGTCAATGCATTGTGTGTTGGAGACCTCGTGGCGCAGTGGTTAAGAGCTACGGCCGCTAACCGAAAGCCGAATCTACCAGCTGTTCCTTGGAAACCCTATGGGGCAGTTCTACTGCCCTACAGGGCCACCATGATTTGGAATTGACTCAACAGCAATTTTTTTTTTTTAATGCCTTGTAAGCATCTGTTCAAAAAGTAGGTACTATTCTACCTCAAGCGCACTCTACATTCATAATTCTCCAAAGATTACGGGTTCCATTAGCTACCAATGACAGTATGTTTAATCACTTTGTAATTCTAATGTTAGGAGCCCTGGTTGCTCAATGGTTAAAGTGCTCAGTTGCTAACCGAAAGGTCATCCGTTGGAACCCATCAGTGACTCCATGGCAGTAAAGATTAGAGTTCTACTGGCAGTTCTACTCTGTCCTATAGGGTCACTATGAGTCAGAATTGACTTCTACAGTGCACGACAACAATTCTAATGTTTCCGTTTAGAATTTTACCATGCTCTTGATTTAAATTTCAATATTGGAAATAATTCATATAATGAAAAAAAATTTTCCTTAATTATATTTGTGCAAAACATTCTTTTAAATCAAGTTAAGATTTTAAAAAAGTAGTCTAACTTGCGCTTCATAGTCAAGCACGATAAAAAATTGGAAGCTTTACTTATATATGCAGTTTAGCTGTAACATTTAGGGGAATATTGTTCTTGATATGTCACATTATGTCTGCTTTTGGATAGAATTTAATAGTCTTTCTGCGCTACTGAGATTTTAAAAATAACAAAAGGAAATCCTCAAGCTCATTTTTAAAATAGTTCTGAACCTTGACATCTTTTGTTTCTTGTAGCATCTTACAGCCCCAAAATCCAGGCATATATTTCCACTTTTTCCAAACATTCCTTGTTCTATTTTCCTTGACGGCTCTATGCCCAACTTCAATGTGGAACTTCCAGATTAAATATTCTTTCTCAAATCATTTTCACACATAACACAACCGCACTAATTAATTTTCTTGCGAATGAAATTAGCACTTCATGAAACTGCACTTGTCCAGTTTTGACAGTTCAACAAGGTTCAGAAATACCAATCACGCGCCTCTGTCTTTCACCCTTATCCACCATTCCTTGGACACAAAATATTCTTCATGCCGGCGACTCCCAAAAGAGTAAGTTTTAGGGAGCCCAGGCAGACACTTGTTTTCACGAAGTGAAGAGGGGGCGTTTTGTGAGACTTGGCCTTCCCACTTTATTTCTATTTTTGGATGAGGGAGGAGGAGTTGAGAAGAAGAAAAGATTATTAACAAATAAATCTCGCTCACTCCGAGAGCAACAGCAGAGGACCCATCCGCTCGGCACCGC